TATAACACCGCATTATCTGGGCTCTGTTTACAAGGCTGCAGGCCTGGCTGAAATATTCGGGCGTCAATGAAGGTCACCTGTCAACTTAGAGTAGTGCCTGAAGATTACTCTGTGTAGCTATAAACGACTTTTAAATGGAATGATGAATTGTTGAAGGATTTTGAAAACGGAAAAAATGATAGTCATGCCGGCCCAGCATCATCAACATTGCAAAATGCCCCGGCACGAAGTGGTTAATGATTCCTTGATATGCCATCATGGGCTATGAAATAGAAGATGACATATTTGACAAATAATGTGAAAAATTTATATCCCATCACAACCTAAAGTTTAACCCTAACACAGCGGGGGGGGATCTGCCATCCTTATTTTTCAGATATCACTGTAATGCATTTTTTCTCAGGAGCTAAGCCTTGAGGAGTTTTAGAGTAACTCTTTATGGTCACTTTGAATCCAATTTTGTGAAAATTGAACCTACCGTTCTTGCATAGCACTAGGTTTTCCGAGACAGGTCTGCCAAAAATGTATACTTTTCCACAGTGGTGCTCAATACATGTTGGCTGGCATGCATGTAACTTTGAACTTCAAATGACTGTAACAACAAATCTATTTGTTTGATTGACTTCAAACTTCACACTTGTATTGATAAGGAGTGTCTTCATGTGTCTGCCAAGTTTCAAAAAATTGAGTGTATTACAGCCGAGAAATTGGAAAGGGGGGGGGGAGAAATCCACCTGCACCCGACTGTGAGAGGAGCCAAATAACTGGGCTCTTGTAGGGTCAAACATGTGCAAATGTGCCATCGTTACAGTATAAGTAGGACCTCTGTTGCTCAGCAGAATCATTCAAACAACATGCCATTAAATAAATGAGGTTAAAACTAAATTCACCACAATGACATCAGAATCAGACATCAGATTTGTGTCATCCTGGAAAGAAATGAAATTTGTGAAATGAACATAATCCGTGCATTGGATAAGTATCAAATTTTCCAATTTTTCCAATACAATTTAGCTTTATTCTTATTTCATGTGCTACAGATTTCAACAAAGCTGTTTGACCCAAGTGAGTTTACTCCGTATGACCCCACTCAAGAACCAATATTCCCTCCGGAGCTGATGGTAAGTTACACTGCACCAACTGCTCACTTGCACCCCAGAATTAACTGTTGCCATGATTCAGTGTCAATCTTCTTTGTATCGTGCAAACATTCATTCTACAAATTATGACCCTTCAGATTATAGACGGAACTGGCGTACAACTGTGCTTGTTACCTTTGCATGATGCACCTAATGGAAGTTATTCCTTTTGTTTTTCTCTTTGTATGTCTACAGCTTATGCTAGATGAGGAAAATCCGGCAATTCAGACATTTTCAAGTGACAATTTGACCTGGTTACGACCAACCACTCTCCAGCAACTGCTGGATCTAAAGGTCGAGCATCCTGAAGCCAAGATGGTTGTTGGAAACACAGAAGTTGGTGAGTCTCTTACTCATTTTCAGGTGAGAAGTACTCGCCCTTTGTTCCTAATGTGCCGAAAGAAGAAAGCGTGTGTAGTGTGTTGTCTAGTGCTGCAGCTGAACCGCCGAACCTAACAAAAAGTCAATGAACATGGCACTTTTGAACCGAACCAAATTGGTCGGTTCAGATGTTCGGCTTCAATGTAACATGGCGTTGATACTGCACAGAATCCATGCAAGAAAACTAGATAGAAAAGCAAACACAATGAAAAATGGATAACGAGTTACACCGCACCGACGCTCGGCACATGTGCGTGTACACATGCACTGTGTACATGTGCAGTAAGCTCTTGATGGTCCTGCATCACACGATGGCTGTAAAAGCATGTGGTGAGTATTCACTAATAATCAACCGAGAATATGCAACGTATGGCATTTCCGCTGCACAACAGTTCTAAATTCTCACTACATCCAATTGTGCTTACATGTATGTATACAGTCGAACCTCGTTACGAAGAACACTGTGAATACAAGATTCTGCTTATAACAAGAACATTTTGAGGTCCCAACCGTTTGTTTTCTTCTTATATTAGTTCTTGATATTACAAGGTTCCTGTTATAACAAGGTAGTTTGCCAAGTCCAAAGGACATCTTATTAATGAGATTCAACTGTATTCAGATTAAGCATTATGTTTGTCATTGAAGACACTTCAACAACTATTTAAAGTATTGGTTTCTTTTTTGAAATTTTGTCCACTCGTGCCAGGCGTTGAAGTCAAGTTCAAGGATCAGGTCTATCCCCTCATTATTGACGTCAACCACATCCCAGAATTGATCCGCATTGACACCACGCCCGCCGGGGTGAGAGTAGGGGCCTCTGTGTCACTGACCTCTCTAGATCTTTACCTGAAGCAGATTATACAAACTCAGCCAGGTAAGTGCACTGGGTTGATGTAAGTGAACTGTTCTTTTTATGTAAATGAACCAATCCACCAGTATAACATGACAAATAGTGCTAGGGAGCAGTCAAATCTCGTGAAGAAAAGTACAGTCTTAGTGAAGTATGAACATGAGCCTCCCTATAGCGTCACAAGGGTTAAATGTCTGATGTGGGAAGCAGGTGTACACATTTTTTCAAGGGGCAGTGTAAGGCAACAGTCCTTGCGATTTAGTGATTGCAGCCGTGTGAAGAAAAATGCACTCCTGAACATTTCTAGGTGTGCAGTTTTTCTTAGAGTGTGATTTTGAACAATGAATCAAAACCTTGGATCAATCAAGACATAGTAAAATACAAAGATAAAATTGGGTCAACATTTCAAATAAACCATCAACAAAAACCAACAAGAAATAATGCAACAGTTTCAGATCACGCCCGCTTACGTCAAGCAAACTGGAAGGGATACCGGTATGTCCAATACATGTCAAAAGAATCAAAGTTTTATGATGGTCATAAAATCATGCCCTTTCCATAATAGCAGCCTCAACAGACCATGCAGAGCTCCTCTGACTGAGCCACAAGATCACTCTAATATTCTCCATTAACTTTTTCCAATAAATCTCCCCATTTTCCTGAGGTTTCCTTTTGCCAAATCTCTTTTAATGGGAAACATCTGGACGTTTACGTGTCTGCACACAACTTGTCGACTTCTGGAGATCGTTTTGTGTAGATGCGAGTAAAAGCCCAGATTTTTTTTGGAAAAATGCTAATGTTGTGATTGGAACAACTTACAGGACAGACATCTCCATGAAATACTTGGGATAATCAGGGAATTCATTGGAAAAATTTGAGTTGAGAAGTGCTGTCATCTCGTGGCGCTGCGTGTGACGTGTACAAGCTCGTAAAGCCATGTACAGTCTGGTGTATGTAGCATTATGCATGCAGCAATGCTTGCTGCAGCGCAGTGCGACATGGGTGTGCTGAATGATTGTACACTGACAGAGCTGTCACGCAAAACTGATTCGCAGGGAGAATCAAAATTGATTCTGTCATCACTAACTGTTAGGTAGGCCAAATGTTTGATATTATTCGTTTCAGTTTTCTCAAAAATTGTGAATTATAATTACAAAGTAAACTCATGTCGAGGAGTGCGGTACGGATGGTTTCAGGCGTGCAATTATTTGCACTTCTCGGGAAGCTTTTAGGCATGTGATGGCGAGGGAAGGCAATCGCACGCCTTACAACGTAAGGACTGAGGCAAGTGATTTGTGGCTTGTACATACATGTAGGTTGTGAACATTTCAAGGGGTGGGGGAAAAATCAGAAAGAGGGGTACATTCCCCTCCCCCATAATTAAATCACTGGACCCTACTCATAGGACAGGCAATTCTGCAGAAGTATCTTGTGTCCTTTTGTTCAGTCACATTAATTATTTTAAATCCTATCCAAAGTGTCAATAACTGAAAGGTTTTTTCAAATCTCAGTATCACTCATTTCAATCTCGTATGAGCCCTAAAGCTAATTAGATCCTAATTTCTGATGGTATATTTTAATTTATGTTTAGTTTTTTGTTTACGTGAATTAAATTATGAAGCAGTAAGCGGAAACCTCAACCCACATTGCCCTGGGGATATTTCACCATAAGGCTTGTAACTAGTGTGGAATTGCTTCCCTTGAGTACATCCTCCTTTCTTCCCTGTTTGAACAGAGCATAAGACGCGGGTGTTTGCCGCCATTGTAGAGATGCTTCGCTGGTTTGCTGGACATCAGATCAGGAACGTTGCTGTGAGTTAGTTTCATACATGCATCCAACTCTTGAAGTTAGCAGAGTCATGCCTAGAAAGTAAAGTTTGTACTTAATAGAGCACTTGAACAGTACACAAGTGGTTCAGAGTTCGCATTCTTATCATGAAGTCTAGTCGTCTTGGCTGAGTCCATTTCAGCTCTCAGTTCAGTTATCTGAACTGTTAATCTTTTGAAATGAGGCCAATGCTGTATCCATTTCGCATGATTTCCAAGTTGCGCTTAAATCACTGTTTTTGATCCAAATAATCCATTCAGCTGGTGTTACTGAAAGATGGCCTTATAATAATAAGTTGTAAAATGAAGTGAGACATTCCATTCTTAATTATATTCAACTTTTTATTTTGTGACTTTGCTTTTCAATGTCTATCAGTGTTTGGGTGGTAACATAGCAACTGGCAGCCCCATATCGGACCTGAATCCTCTGTTGATGGCTGCAAGGTGTAAACTAGAGCTTACTTCAAAACAAGGTACATGTAGGAAATGAAAATTTGAGCAGCCAGCCATCTTTAGAATTCAACCTGAGATACATGGGTCTTTCCTTATTAAAAATGGCTGGTCCAAAATTCACAAACTAATTTTCAGTATCCAGTGTGTAAACTGGAAAAGGATTTTTGTAGAAAAGTCAACTTCCTTAGGTACAGTTAAGATGGAATCTAAGAATCACTTCTGTTGTCACTGAATTCAACCCTGAATTCAACCCTGTAAAAGGAACGATGTAAACATGCACAGTTATAGAGTATGTGTCATAGATTTAAGTCTGGACACATTGAATGAAAGAGCAAGTACAAAATGGAGTGCCTTGGGACTCCATTTAAAATCTGTGAAAAGATAGCAAGTTTTCCTAATGCCTTTTGGTTATCTTTATTAGGTTCTCGCACAGTAACCATGGATGGAAACTTCTTCACCGGTTACAGGAGAAATATCATTGCTCCAAGTGAAGTTATCTTAGCTGTGAATATTCCATTCACATCAGAGGTGAGTGTTACCCTAGCCAAAATACAACTTGCTTGACAACCGTAAACTTTTAACCTGATGGAGTGAACCTCAGGTGGTTTTTTTTGCTTAAAGACATTTAAATTTTGTAAATATTGGTTAACTGGTCATACATCATAAGCATGTGACAAAGAATTGGACATAGTCATTCTGTTCACCTCACAAATCAGATAATTTTGCCATGGACAAAAATCACAAATTGTATTTGACCTGTCATTGTAAAATCCTAGGAAAGGATATCTTGTGAGATCCTTTCTGATTAATAAATAATGAACAATTTTGCAACAAACACTGATTATGTTAATGCTTTTATTGTATTTCCTACACAGGATGAATATTTCTATGGCTACAAGCAGGCTCCACGTCGTGAGGATGATATAGCCATAGTCAACGCTGGTATGAGGGTCCTCATGAAGCCAGGTACCAATGTAGTACAGGATTGTACACTGGCATTTGGTGGCATGGCTCCTACATCAGTACTGGCTGCCAAGGCTATGACTGGCCTCAAAGGAAGGTAATTTTCACGTTTCAAGAAAACAGAACATTAACATCTTGACTGTGAAGTTAGAATCTTTGCAATCGAAGGATCACTTCTGTTGTCACTGAATTTCAAAATCAACCCTGTAATAGGAACGATATAAACATGCACAATTATAGATACGTGACATTTTTACCACTCCTGCTGTACTATGTGGCAAAACTGCACCATTCCTTGCTATTTCCAACAGGCCTGTGCCTCTTATAAGGCCAACAGTGAGAGTTAGTTTTGGCCTACCTCTCACCTGTACACAGTGGTTTAAGACCCAGACATTTGGTCTGATTTCAACAAAAACCTCTTCATTGGAGTCTGAAAATCAAGTTTTAAGTGTTAAAAAAATTTATTTTAAAATTTCGTATTCTGTTTCTGAGATACAACAGTTTTAATGTATAAGCTAACATAAGTAGCAAATTAAAAAGATCCACATTTTGTTTCTGTGTAAAATATCTGCCAAGGCAAATAAAACTTCATTTAAATTGTTTTTTTTATGTTGCCTAGGCGTACCCCTAAGAGTATGATATGGGTCGATCCTTGGATGATGCGGTAACATAACACTGAAAAACTCCACTAAAATAGCACAAAATACATCTGTTTAAAAATATTTATAAGACATTTTGAGCAGTACCTTCTAGTACCCATGGTAGAATGCCATAAATTCGTAACATACCAAGAGAGTAAATATCCCATGTCAAGGTAAAATCACGGTAAATTCATGGAAATGCCCCTTACACCCGTAAAAGACGAAATTTCGATCAATGTTTTCACTAGAAATATTGCTGATTGCGAGCAAACGAGCGCCCTCTGTTAACGCGAATAGTCCGCGAAATTCAGCAACAAGTGCCCGTACATTTTTCTCTCCAGTCCCACTCGATTTGTACGATGTCATCGCATTGAATATCAAAGTGCTGAAGCCAGTTACAGTTTCCACAAGTGAAATCTCTTTAGTTGTGCTTTATTGGCCCATCTATGATGAAATAATATCATCTTGCTACTGGTTGCATGGAATGTGAGATGCATGTGTTGATGCATTGAAAAGTCTTGCCCAGAAAATTACAAACGAATAAAGTTTTATTTTTTTGTAAACTTGACCGGGATAGAGCACAGTATGCGAGCAGAGAGAAAAGGGTAAACACTGTTTTAGCCAACCAGACGTGTTTTTTCAGAGGAAGCCAGATACACAGGTACTTTCTTGGACTGAATTTTGTCCAGTCAGAAAAAACCCTAAAAACAAACGGACAAAAGATAATTGAGCTGTCATTGTGATGTAGAGCAGACATTAATGGCTTTATCGTAACTCAGTAGAGCTTTATTTCCCAGAACTTTTCTAACCTGAGACAAACCCAAAGGTAGCCATCAGACTCCTTATAAGAACCCCTCAATTTGCAAAGCTACATATTTCACATTTTTCTGTCTTCAATGGCCAGGAAGATAGAACTCTCTAACGATGAGATTTGGCATAAATAGCTAAAGACAGGTTGGAATCGGGCACTACAAAAGGCCAGACAATAACCGTAGCTGGAGAAATTATAGCAGACTACAGGCTGAAGGGAAAGTTTACGGAACTGTACATTTCCAAGCAACTAAAAGCACACAGAGGGAGAAATGTATGAAATTGAACAAATCACTGCCTCCTTAGCATTCAAGAAGTTTTCTTTGATGAATCATTTTATATTTTTGAGAAAGAGCCATCTCCAAAAAAAATGACACATCATCAATTACTGTTACGGAAGCTTGTCCAAAAAGGCTGGAGCTGATGTTCGCACTCAACCACGAGGTAATCCCCTAAATGAAGTGGGACCTCGCAAACGGACGCGATAAGCTGTGGAAAATGGAGTATCCTGAACTCAGTTACTTTGTTTTATATGACAAAAAGAGAAAAAACTGTTGATGTTGGCATGAGGCTATTTACAGATGATTTCCCAAATGAAAATAAGTTAATTTAACTTTTTTTTGCGTTATCCCTACTATTTCCACTTTTGGGAATCTTTGAGTTAGCTTTACTTTAATTTAGTTTTTGTAATAATATTTTGTGGAATAGAGAATAAATCAAATCAAATCAAGCCGTTTAATTACTTCCCTTGATAAGGCAAAATGAACTCCAGCAGGTATTCCATTTATTTCATGAAGACATAATTGGCAAACTGTAAACTCAACAATTTATTTTAGAATTTGACTGGCTTTTAAGTTGGGATATGAAATCAACATACATAAAATAATAAAGCACCCATAAAAAATACTTTACAAGAGTTGTACAAACTTTAAACTCAACAATTTATTTCAGAATTTGACTGGCTTTTAAATTGGGGCATGAAATCAGTATACATAAAATATAAAAGTACCCATAAAAATACTTGTACAAATCACTTAACCCTTCGTTTGTTCTTTTTTTTATCCCAAATCAATAACAAAGATTGTTTTGATACCACACCAGTACAGCAGAGCAAACATTGCAAACCTTTATGCAAACACAGCCGAAGAGGGCGCTATGCATAAGTAGCGCCCTCTTTCAGATTTTGCTCCCGTTTTTGACCATTTCAGTGAATTCTCCGGTTTAAATCTTTTCAACCTAGTTTTCTGTATTTAGAGATGATGCTCAAACATGTTTGATATAGTTTTTAGGAATTTGGACCCTTCATTGTCGCGATATCTACTGATGTCTGGGTCAAATATGGTTTTAAACCACTGTGCTGTACCTGTACTGTCTAATTCAAGAATGTATGGTCAAATTATTTTTTAAGTTAAGACGTCATAGATGTCAGGTTTCTGTTTGTTCATTGTCTCGTGGTTACACAGTTAATGATGAAGCCTCCAATGAATGAGTGTAGAACTAGCAGCCAAGTTGCGAAACTTTATGCAATGGTGTAAATCCACTTGCGGCACATTTTATTGTGTAAATTGCACCACAAATTATAAATGACTTCACAAATCTTGCACTGCGAATGTTGCAGCAAATTATGGCATAACTTACGCAGTCATATTAGGTGGTGTAACTTCTGCCAAACAAAGCAATAATGAACGATTTGACTACTTCAGCATGTTTGCATAAGCCTCATTGCAGAACTTAAGAAGGCATATGAGAAACGTGCAACTTTGTTGTTGGAGATAATGAAAAACCTGTTTGCCTGTGAGAGAACTGTGAGATTTTCTGTCTGGTTCCAATGAAGTAAAGACGAAAACTTTTTCAACAACTGTTTGATGACTGTTTTCATTTTGGAAAGGAACGGCTGTCGTAAAAGTAGTTTTTATCCTTGTCCAAAAAATTCAAGATTTTAAAATGTGATGCAAAATGAAACTTTCTGTGAATCGAACTTAAGTATATTGCGCAGCTATGGCAAAAATTTGTGGCACAAAGCTTACACATGGTTCAAAGTTACGCCACATTTTGTGAAATCGGCTGCAAGCCTTTCCATTTCAGACCTTTGATATGTTCTTCACCAGGACCTGGAGTGATGGACTAGTGGAGGCGATGTGCCCTTTACTGGCTGAGGATCTCCCTTTGCCTCCTGGGGCACCAGGTGGCATGGAACCCTACCGTCAGTCTCTCACCCTCAGTTTCTTCTTTAAGTTCTACCTGGCCGTCTTGGAACAGTTGAAGCTGAAACGGGTCAGTGTCTTCGGGCGTTTCTTTTTTTTGGGGGGGGGGAGAATTACATCTCCCCTGTGAGTCTATCACTGCAGCGGCCTGACATGGGGGTTTGATACCTTTCTGGAATAAGCTCAAAGTTGTAAATTGGTGATGTGTAACAAAGAATTCATTGAGAAAGCTGCCATCAACTTCATTGGTTTTCTTGTAACCTTTAAGCTAATGCTCATGCTGTGAAGAAAGCAATGAAGAAGTGTAGTAATGTTCTTTTGGCCTTGTGGTTCTGTGAAAGCTTGTGTGGCTTTCATGCATGTTCACCACTTGCTGTGTTATAAATCTTTAAGGGGGATAGGTATGAATTTTTTGTGATGACATAATTTGTTTTATGGATTGATTTCTCCATATCAAGCCTGGACTGAGTGATACCTTCATCCCTGATTCCTACAAAACAGCCAATCAGCAGTACCATAAGAACTCAGCTAGGGGTGTGCAGATGTATCAGGTAATGCTATTGGGCAGCTCTGCAGTACGATCATACTCATCAAAATGTGGAACTACAAATATGTAGAGATGTTGCATTGAACGTCGCCACATAAATAAATACTTGTTTAGATACAAGTTCCTTCCAATGCAACTCACTGGTACAGTATACTTGCTTTAAGTTCCTTCCAGTGCAACTCACTGGTACAGTTTGCTTGTTTTAAGTTCCTTCCAGTGCAATTCACTGGTACAGTATACTTGTTTAGATACAAGTTCCTTCCAATGCAACTCACTGGTACAGTATACTTGCTTTAAGTTCCTTCCAGTGCAACTCACTGGTACAGTTTACTTTTTTTAAGTTCCTTCCAGTGCAATTCACTGGGACAGTATACTTGTTTAGATACAAGTTCCTTCCAATGCAACTCACTGGTACAGTATACTTGCTTTAAGTTCCTTCCAGTGCAACTCACTGGTACAGTTTACTTGCTTTAAGTTCCTTCCAGTGCAATTCACTGGGACAGTATACTTGTTTTAAGTTCCTTCCAGTGCAACTCACTGGGACAGTATACTTGTTTAGATACAAATTCCTTCCAATGCAACTCACTGGTACAGTATACTTGTTTAGATACNGCTTGTTTAGAAATAAGTTCCTTCATGTGGATTTGGTCCAGCATCTCAAAAACCTGCCACTGTCTTTGTGTGATGAATGTAAAGAAATGGATGGGAAAAGATGGTGGAAATCACATGTCCACAAAAGTGTGAGACTCTCTTCCACATGTAGGGTCACATTCTTCTTCTGCCGAAGACCAGGATGCTGCCTTTTGTTTCCCACTCTGTACAATTTCAGTCTGTGAGTAGAAAACACTCTGTTGTAAAGTCAAACGTGAAAAAGCCCTTTCATACTTTGATAAGATGTATCACTGATATTAGATCACTTTGATCACGACAGTAATCTCCTAGTTTTCCTTATGTGCTCTGAGATTTGTTTTCTGTGACCCCTGATCTTTGACCTGTGTGCATATCAGGAGGTTCCAGCAAGTCAGCCAGATTCCGATGCGGTAGGGCGACCTTTGACCCATATGGCTGCTCTCAAACAGGTCACAGGAGAGGCTTTGTATGTTGATGACATCACACCCGCAAAAGGTGATGAATTTTGTGATCTGTCCTCTCATCTGGTTTTTGAAGTTTTTCTAACCTGATTCTCTGCAAAGTCTACCTTCAAAGTCAAATTGAACAGTTTTAATGATCAAGTGGCCATTTTCAGACCGTGCAGGTTTCACATTAGTGGTCAAATGTTGTTTGTGACCTTTTTTTCCCTTTCTATGAACAGATGAGCTTTACTTGGGTTTGGTGTGCAGCAAGAAAGCTCATGCAAAGCTACTGTAAGTACAAAGAACAGCAACTACATATGCATGGTCATTGAGATTGTTAAGGTGCTGTAATTGGGTAGAATTAGGGTGAACACTGTATCTGGTAACCAATGTTATAAACCTGTTTTTTCTGTTTTTGACTGGTCATCTTTATTTTCTCAAGCAAAGTCACATACTTACAGTGCAGACAAGGCTGTTTGCTCATTGAATCATTACAATTTCCACAAGTCATGCGCTCTTACATTCCAGCAAATGACATCATTGCGTTAAAGACTGAAGTATGTGCCAAGGAAATTGTAACAGTAGAACTCCCTAATGCAAGCTGAACGTACAACTGGTATTATTTCATGTTGGTCATTGGCAGGTCTGTTGATGCGTCAGCAGCCTTAGCAGTTGAAGGCGTCCATGCCTTTGTGGATGTTAACGATGTGCCAGGAAGTAATATGGTTGGCGTGGGCCTGGAACAAGATGACCCACTGTTTGCTGATGGAGAGGTTAGCATTTCTACTTGTAGGCCGTGTCTGAAAAAAACTGGCTGAATAAACTGAATATTTCTTCATTGTTTTATTCGTTATCATTTATTATCACCATTAAATTGGCATTTCCACTGTTGGCAATTTTGGTAATGTTGTTGGTGCCAACTAAGGGAATGAAAATGCATTACATGCTATGTCGCATCTCAGATTTTGCGAGGGGATGCACTGCAGTGGTGAAGTTGAGTCCACAGAAGTCCGTTTCAAGTCATCCAGTAGCTAGTCACAAGCCAACCGTAATAAAAGCATGCTTATGTCTTGCCCATCCCCTGTGACAGTATGCCTAGTTTGATTTAAGATGGATTTCAGCTAGACTCGACATCAACTTTTGTGGCATGGGTTACCAGTGTATTAAATCACTTGCCTCTCGGCACATTGTTCCCAGGCTTGATACCCAGTCCAGGACGCATATTAATAAAGTTGTTCCTTGGTTCCTCTCCTGTGACACAGGGGTTTCACACTGGTTATTTAGGTTTGCCTCCCTCTGTGGAAATCAACACTTTCGATTTCTGGCTGTGCTTAAGGGGTAGGTGTGAGTCATTTGGGTGGCTGCTTGAGGCACCGTTGCATACCTTCAGCTCAACCAGGTCAAAGTTTAGTGTCTTATTTTACAAGGCATTTGAACATAATTGTATGGAATTAACTTTTTACAGCTGAATCAATTATTTTGAATTTGGTTCCGTTGACATGAACTTTAAATATCACTATGAATATTAACAAAAATGTATTCCTCTATTTAAAGCAATTTCCTTACAGTATGCATTTTAATTTCAAATGCCCTGTACAAGTAAGACACTGCATGGCTATTGAGCTGCAGGCATGTGAAGTCACCGCAGGCAATGACCAAATGACCCACATCAGCCCACAGAGCACGGGCAGATTTAGTGTTGAGTTTTTGTGAAGGAGGAAACCTACAGGAAAAAACTTACCATTGGAGAGAACCAACGAAAAGCTCTACTCACATACAGTACTAATACATATAGTTATCCCTTCAGTTGTAGTAATTTTTGAACTCTAATTATCAGCAAAGTACCTTGTCTCTTTCAGGTGCTGCATGTGGGTCAGTTGATAGGTTTTGTTGTTGCTGACAACCAGAGCATTGCTCAGAGGGCTGCCAAGTTGGTCAATGTCAAATACCAGGATCTACCAGCCATTATTACCATAGAGGTTAGTACTTGGAAATCTGACCTACACAAGTTTGAATTTTGTTATGCCTCTTTTATCCTTCCATAGGGATTAAAGAAATAAACTAAAATGGACAAATTTGTATTTTGTTTTCGCTATTTTTTGAATTGTTGGAATCTTTCTAAACATTTCTGGCTTTAAACAAATTTTGATACAAAAGTTGTAAAGTTTCATTCTAAGACATCTTTTCAGGAGATGGAGATTTCAGTTCAAAGACAGCTTTAGTTTCCTTGATTGTAGCCATGCCTGTCACAGGCTGGTTATGGTCATGCATACTTTTTTCAGGACTTTTCTGTTAGACTGTGGATTTTCTGAAATATTTGCCGGTCTCCGTTTTCACATATTGAGTTTGTTTGTAGCCAAGAAGGCTTACGCTATGAATTTTCGCTCAGTTAAAATGCAGTTTCTCAGTTAAAACAGGTGTATGCCGTCTGATCACTCAATTTAACCGTGGTCATTTTGGGTTAAACTAGGGTTACCAACAACACAGGGTTAAAACGGGGTTGCTTTTGGAAACAGGTAAGGAGCTCTGATCATTAACTCTGCAGTCAGTTTTGTGGTTTTTAAGCTTGGATGGCAAGGCAGCTATTCGGAGTGATCTTTCTGCGGTCAGTTTGTGGAGTATAAGCCCCAAGGCCAGATGAGTTCCTTTGTACGTGGCGATCACACCGCACGGCAATCCCTTACAGTATACTAAATAACTTTTCATCACCACTGGTTGATACATGCAAGTTCTTTGCGCTGGTACTCAGCACTTCGTCGGCCTATCCTGTACCTGAATGTATTGGTCTTCAGTTGTCATCCCATGTGTTTCAGGATGCAGGTCTCCATCGGACCCTAACGCCAAATTTTCAAGTACATGTAGCTTGTCCTATTGTCCCCTCCAAGTCAGAGGCATGTTTTGGATTTCCTCTAAACCAGTCTTGTTACAATATGTGCCTTTTATGAGAAAAATGCAAACTGTCTGTTCTCATTTGAACCATCCTCTGTCCACTGCCAACAGGAAGCCATCCAGCACGGCTCTTATCTGCTTTCCAACCTGAGTCTCAAGAGGGGTAATGTCCAGGAGGGCTTTGAGAGCTCCGATCACATCTTTGAGGGAGAGATGAGGTTGGGTGCCCAGGAACACTTCTACTTGGAGACTTTTACCACACTGGTCATCCCTGGAGAAGGAGGAGAAGTGGAAGTGATATCATCAACACAGGCGCTCACGACAACACAGGTAGGTGTGTCAGGGCTGACACAGTGCTCAAAAGAAATTTGGAAAAGATTCTGCTCCTGTTGTGAAGGAGTTTCTTGTGCTGTAGTGTTAGACCCTTAGAGCCACTGTTTAAGGCTGAGTCGGTTTGAATAATCGATTCTTGAGATATTCAACCTTCCATTCAATCCAGTATTCCAATATGCAATCATACCAAATTCCCACAAAAGCAGAAACAAAAGATGCATGTTTGCATGTTGGTCTGCCACATCGAGATTCAAGACAGGAGTGTGTCTACCAGTTAGAGGAGGAGGCTGTGATGCCCAAGTGATGTTTGGCCCTAATCAGTGGTTCATTTCCTTAGTTCTGGTTAGATTGCACACCAGGTAGAATAAAAAACGAACAGTTGGAGGACAAGTAATTATTTGGCCTTAGTGTTGGGCACATGAACCCATTGCATTTCACTTTACTCATTACACCTTACAGTACACTTTGAGAATGCAATTTTGTAACCAAATAATTAAATTTTTCCCCTTTTTCATTAATTTTCATCTCTGAATGTTCAATTTCAGAAACAAAGATTCATATATTTAGCAATTAATCAAATATTTGAATGTTTAAATTTTGACGCATTCCTAATGCCGTGAGACAACGTTGTCTCAGCTGGGCTTTTAAACACCTGCTTTATTGTGTGGTCCCATTTGAACTACTGGTACATACAAAGTGTATGGAGGACAGGTTTTTAGTCTTTCTAAATTATTTGTTACTTTTTGTTGTTTTTTTTCCATTTTCTACTTAGAAAAATGGCCCTTCTGTGCAAACAAAACAAACACTCTTGTTTTTTTGATAATGACAGCTTATGGTGGCCAAAGCCTTAGGAGTTCCCAATAACAAAGTCGTAACCAGAGTCAAGAGGCTTGGTGGTGGATTTGGTGGGAAGGAAACCAGATGCTGTGTGCAGGCTGCCGCCTGCGCAGTGGCTGCTAATAAGTAAGTCTGTCAGAGAGATTCAGCAATAGCTGGCACACGTCAGTTTTAAATCAAGTTTTGTTTTTCAAGGGTCTGTACGGTCCAGGGGAAAAATGTTCTGAATACTTGTTTGATCCCGAGAGTTTAAGTAATCGGGGGAATTTCGCCGTTGGAAAAAGGGGGCATGTTTAGAAACAAGCTCCCCACATACCCAGATTTCCACCCCTTTCTTGGCTTTCCAATATACATTGGACTTCTCCTGTCTGAAATTGTGATTTCCCACTAATTATTTTACCTGCCATCTGTAGTGAGTGGATTTCTTTGGTATTGACCAATGCCAATTGAGCACACAGACATGTCACTTAGGGCCGGCGACCATTTAGACCCGGTTTGAAAAGGGCCCCCCGGTAGCCCACCCTGTATAATGCCTGCCTGGTATTCAGGCAACTCCAGGCCGGTATCAGGCCTGTCTGCACATCGGCATTTCAAAGTCCCTGATGGAAGGCTTTCCCCACCATGCTTCCACAGATGAATAGGAGTCTAAGCAGATTAGGGTAAACATTGTATAGAGCTGAAAGATTAAAAACCACAAGCAGGTCCCTTCTGGGATAGATTACATGTACCAGTACTTGCAAACAGTGGACCCCAGGATGGAGAAGTTCGAGATCAACAACCATTCCAGCATCCCAGGCCGGTAGCCAGGCCGGTACGAAAGGGGTTTTTGCAACAGGGCGGGGCTGACCTGGGGGCCCTTTTCAAACCGGGTCTAAATGGTCGCCGGCCCTTAAGTAATAGGCAAGTTAATGAAGATGTGGTACATTATTCATAGGCTGTAAGTTTAATTCTATAGAGTCAAGTTATTTGCCTTAACCACTTCCTGCCAGGGGCAGTTATCAATGTTGATGATGCTGGGCCGGGATATGTTTTCTGTTTTCAAAATTCTTTAAAATCTTCATTTACCGGACACTTACAAACACGTGAAGGACTATCTGGTGTCCACTCTAGCCTGACAGACAAAATCTTTTGACGTCTGAGTATTTCAGCCAGGCCTGCAGGTAAGTCAACTTTCGTACAGTGACCAACAGCAGCTGATTCTGGGAAAACGTGAGTCCTGTGAACTGTGCCACCGTAGGGTGTTGTGGTGGCCAGCAAGCTGGGATACTAAGACTGTCTGGCCTTGGGGATATACATGTAGTTGGATAGCCAACAATGGCCTTGGAAATTAGGGTTAACCAATCATGTTTTGTCTTTGATCCCAAATCAAGAGTAAGTCGTCCAGTGCGCTTGATGCTGGACCGTGACAAAGACATGAGCATGTCGGGGACACGCCATCCATTCTTGGGTCGCTACAAGGTGGGACTTGCCAGTGACGGTCAAGTGAGGGCACTGCAGATCGACCTGTACTCCAACTGCGGATACTCTTATGACCTGTCCATTGCAGTGAGTTTCTTTTTAACATCAACCAGTTTATAGTTTCAAGAATACACAAAACAAGGCTTTTTCACTTGTTTTCACGATGGTGATTATATACGTAACCATTGTGATGAAGTCAGTTCTTTAAAAAATGCTGGCAGACTCGACACGCTTGGCCTGGCTGGCTCTGAGTACCCCAGGCTTTCTTTTGAAAAGTTATTTTTCTTTTCATTATTGCATGACAGGTGTTAGCGCTCTTATAGAGTGCGAAGGTTACTATTACATAACACATGCCTCTATAGCTTATTTAGGTGAAGCGTTATCCGTTTGTAATTCATTCTCAGTTGAATAGCTTAACCTCACAACACCACATTGGTACGCAGAGCATGAAATTACTGTCAATATCGGACATTTTCGGAGCACTTATTGTGTTTGTTCGAACAAATCAAAGATGCTCAGACAAATTGTCTGACCAACATATCAATAACAGTCCTTAAAATATCAACACAATATTTGGGATTATGGCGTCCGATTTATTATTAGTTTTGTGTTAGAATTACGTTAATTACGCCCACGGCATTCACAGGGCTGATCCCTCATCACCGGCCCATGTCACCTAGCACTGGTTACATGTATAGTTTACTTGCACAGACATGAAATCGCCCCATAATTCTTTGCGCATCGTCAACATTCTTATTTTGCTGTCACAGTGGTGAAAACATGTGCGCAAAGCTCTATGCATTAAACGAAACTGCTCTGGTTCCCGCTGCATCACACCCATGCAAAAGAATGCGTGATGTAAATGTAGAAACCAGTACCAGTCTGTACTGTACGTGTACTGAATGTACTGTACGTACATGTAAACACTCTTCATCGGCCTGTGCACGTTGCGAATGCAAAAGACTGCAGGCCAGAAAGGCATCGATGTTGTGTTGCATGAGGGTTTCTGTAAGTTAATTCACAGAACTTGGTCTCTTATTTATGAATGTATTTTCTGTGTTCATGAGCGTAGTTTGAGATTGTTCTGCTCATGGCATAAGGTTTAGCGCCCGCTGGTCTGGACGCATCACGCACGCTTACCATGTGTGCACGGACATTGTTGACCAGTTGTTGTCGTGATAGCCGCCGTGTTGTATTTGTGGCATTTTGTATACTTTGTGAACAAATGTGGGACAATCTTTATGGATTTGTGCCCCAAGGTAAATGTTTTTGTAGTGGCATGTGTGCAGTCATGCCAGATCAACACAGCTACTTAACGGGCACTTACCCAGAGTTTGCTTGTCTGTTTCAGTGTAGAATATTGTCCCATTTATTGACACATTCTTGTGACAGTGTAATGCCTCATAGGCACTGATCTCATGGAGGGCTGACGTGTTCGTGTGACAGATCCCCCCCACCACCTTTCAGCAGTCGGGGATAAGATAAAGCAATTACCACATTGTGGAACTTGGAAAGTAGCAGAGTTTCACGTTAACAGTGCAGCGTCGCTGGATGGCACTCTGAAAAATTTCAAAAGGCACCTCAGTTGAACCCAAGATAGCATCTTTGACCCACTTTCGTTATCACTGATACTGCTGCATCAGGGTCTCAATGTTCCACCGTCATCGTCCCAATTTTGCTTGCTGCATTTTTAAATTGTCCCCATGGCAATTGGCAATGCTGCACCCTTTGGGCTACGCTACACGTGTCATTTTAATGTGTAATCAAGTCCTATCCAGACACTAGAATTACAATAATAAGTGAAACCATAATGACAAATTGTCCCAAAGTTCAAGATAAAGACAAGGAGAAATTGTCCCAAAGTTCAAGATAAAAACAAGGAGAACAGGTACGAAGGAATGTAATAACAATAATATCAACTAATAAATGTGCAGTTATCCAGGAACCTGGTCAAAGCACCATACATTATTATTCCTGCCCATCAGATTCATGAACATGTAAAAAAGAGACCATCTCTGTTCCCTGGGGAGTACACAGCTCAATGCTGCCATTTCTGGCTCAATCAATCACAAAAATCGTCATCATTTATGTCACTTGACTGGTGATTGGAATTTTCCAAATGTTGTTTGATATAAGTCATTATGAATATTACAACTTGATTAGGTTGGTTGGTGGGTGGAAAAAACCCTTTTCTGCCTGTCACCAGGGGCGGTTAGTGTCCTTTTCTGCATTTACCCTGCCCCCATCAAAATGGCCTTGCTATGCCGTTGGTGTAGGCAGAAAGTTAGATAATTCTATCGTAAGGAAATGTGATTACTCTAGGATTTTGGTTTTTCATTTCTGAAGGTTATGGAGAGGGCAGTTTATCATGCTGACAATTGCTACAACTTTCCCAATTTCCAAGTGGAGGGTCACCTATGCAAGACCAACCTGCCATCCAATACAGCCTTCCGTGGCTTTGGTGGCCCACAGGGCCTGCTGATCATGGAATGTATCATGTCTGAGATTGCCGGCAGATACGGACTGTCAGAGATAAATGTAAGTATAATATTTGGGAGGACTTTCAATCCTGCTCCACACCCATCCCATTTCTGATCTGAGCCAATCATTCTGCCTATATCCAGTTTTGCTTTGCACAGGTGCTTAGCAATAGCTGTGGCTTATATTGTGGCTTTATTGCAACACGACCCTTACATTGGACATGAGACTTCATTTCATTCTTTTAGAGTTTGCAGTTTATTTTAAAGGGTCCCTAAAAATGGTTTTTATTAGTTGTAATTAAAAAGTATACATTTTTAAACGATATCCTTACTGTAAAAGATCTTGTTTTGTTCAATGAATGGGAGAAAATAAATTCAAAAGTTTTGAAGGAAATCGCCCCACACCTGAGAGGGATATCTCATTAACATAGAAAATTTGCATATCTGCGACATACGTTGGAGAAAACATCGTTGTGCTACTAGCACGTGTTTCTTGGGTCAGGTTCAGAAAATTCAATCCAATTTGAGGATTGTTGAGAGATCATGCTGACCAGAAGTGTTGCCACAGACTGCAGCAACACCTAACTTTCTAGATTGAGATGAATTTGGACATCGAAAGTCAGGTTGACTAGAGCCAATTGATCAGCATTGAAAGCTAGCTCCAAACTATGTAGTGTGCATTTCTAACAACAGTGTTTTCTTTAGAACACGTACATGTACATCTCATTTGAGGTTAAATTTAAATGATTGCTGAAATCAGATGTTGAGTCGAGTGCTCAAATGTACGTCACAAATAATGCCATCATTTATCAGGATGAAAACATTCATTTGAGGGGTCAGTAAAATTAACCACAATTAAGGAATTTTACGTCATTTTTGCATCCCCCATCGTGTTACTGGCATAGTAGTGAATATTTTGAATAATTAACAGTTTTTCACAGAGGTCTTCATGGACCCTTTAAAGTATATGTAAAAATTATTGGGGTACAGGTATTCTGTCCATTATAAAATACACAATAACATTTTTGTACTTGGGGTCTGTGTTATCAGGAGAACATTTCCTTTGCTTCAAAGAGAAATCTTGAATTTGTTGCAGCATTCGTTAGTAGTATTAATTTATTTTCATGATTGAATTTGTTTTAATGTAGTTTTGCATTCTATTCAGTGTTGTTATTGAGTCTATTACAATTTCCTTGTCAAGCCCAGTCACAAATCTTTTCACCAAATCAGTCATAAGTAACAGGGTAAACAATGCAAAGAACTGTTTTTTTTTCCCACAGTTCATTTGAATAGCTCTTGACTTGGCTGAATACCGAATAACTTGTGACTGACTTGTAGTTGAGGGACTCGTAGGGAGCTGTGTTGAACTCAGTAATTATGCTGCTATTTGTGTTATTCCTTCTTTGCGGGAGTAAAAATACTTCAACTTTGCCTGAGTGTTTTTATTGTGTTATGTCCTTGTCTGCTTGTTATATGTTGTAGTTCCGCGAACGTTACTTTTACTCGGAAGGCGACAATACCCACTTTGGCCAGGAGCTTAAGAATTGGAATCTAGGGAAGTGTTGGAAGGAATGTCTCACCAAGAGTGATTATGTCAACCGCCGACGAGTTGTGGACCAGTTTAACAGGTAATGGAGATGTAACAAATCATTGTGCCTAATTGGCGGTATGCCAGCTTAGCTTGAGTATGTTAGCTTGATTCCAAGAATTTGAAATTTCAGCTTTGTACTAACCGAATATTTTTAGCTCAGCTGTAAGCATTGGGTACCGTGGAAAGTGAAGAACTCAAATCTAACTTCCATCCATTTCCCTATTTAAGCCCATTACAAAGACATTGTAATAATTGAAGAAAGAAATTGAACCAAATCATTTGCCAAGGTGGGGTGTTCATGAGATGTTTTGTTGCCTTTCAGAGTTCTGTTCATTGATTTACCTGTTCATTTTACCAGTGAGAACCGCTGGCGGAAGCGAGGTATAGCCGCCACTCCAACAAAGTTTGGCATCGCATTCACCTACCTGCCACTAAATCAGGTGGGCTGTGTTTAACTGCAGTATTATTTTCATGATTCAGCCTGATGTCTCCCTCCCTTACGCACAACCAAGAAGTGCAAGAGTTATTCTGTAATTAATAATCCAGCCATAAACGGTTGTACACTGTGAACTTTTGACTGTGTCTTCCCTGTTACTCATGGATGCTGAAAAATGTTAGTCAGATCAAACCTGGTTATGCATATGACATTAGCGTCCAGGCAGTAATGGAAGATAGCATTGACGTTCTCTCACTGAACTATCATTGTGTTTTTCAATAGTTGTGGGGGTAGATATTCATAGGCGCCAGTGTTGTAGTCAAAACTATCACAAGACCATTTCACAGAGCTGAAATAGGAACTTTATAAATGGTTTTCATCCTCTTTGGTGCCAGTAGAGGTGGTCATTTTGAGTGTTGGATGAGTTAGGCCATGTTACAAGAGTAATGAATCATGAGAACCATGAGCAGTTGGAGAATTGAATCTTTGAACATTTGAACTAGAGAATGCTATTGGGCACTTTACTGTCATCTTTTGGAGAAAGTTCAAAGTTTGAATAATTAATGCTTTTTAAAATCTTGTTAGGCTGGTGCCTTGGTACACATCTACACTGACGGCACAGTTCTGATCAGCCACAGTGGAGTTGAGATGGGCCAAGGTTTGCACACCAAGATGATCCAGGTGGCAAGTCGGGCCCTGAGGATCCCCCAGGAGAAAATCCATATCCTGGAGACCGACTCGTCCAAGGTGCCAAACACCTCACCCACGGCAGCCAGCGCTAGCTCCGACCTCAACGGCATGGCCATCAAGGTGAAGAAGATGCTACAACCAGTTCTACAGTCTGGTTCCTGATTTCATGAAATTCATTAACCACTTCCTGCCGGGGATTCCGGCTCCGGACACGTATGCTTTATATGCGTGGCCGGGGTCTCTGAACTCAGACAAAGGGAACAGGACCTTGTAACAAAAGACCGTACTCAGAACAAAGACCAGGCTGCTGGGCATTACTGACATTTTTTCACTCTCAAAAGTGGAGATAATCCAGCCTTGTTTTGAAACAGTATACCATGGTTTGGGGCATTTAGAGAGAGCGGATTACCAATGGTGACAATAGTGCTCCACCACCGCAGTGATGAGCCACACAACACCGCTGCGTGCTAATCTGGCACCTATTGAAAAGAGGTCAGTAGCGCACTGAGCCAGGTTCGTGAACAGAAGAAAGTTATACAACACTGCACAATCTGGGCTCTTTTTACAAGGCTGCAGGCCTGGCTGACATACTCAGGCATCAATAGATTTTGTCTGTTAGGCTAGAGTGGACACCAGACAGTCCTTCACGTGTTCGTAAATGTCCAGTAAATGAAAAGGGATTTTTTAAAGAATTTTGAAAACAGAAAAGAATGAGAATTATCCCGGACCAGCATCATCAACATTGATAACTGCCCCTGGCAGCAAGTGGTTAATGCATTTGAAGTGGAGTTCTGGCGTGTAATGTGTAATCCTTACAGCTTCTCATATGAATTGTGCCTCTCGATAATAATAATGCTGTGCTCTTGGTAATGCTTGATTTGTCTGCTGCATTTGACACTCTAGATCATAGCATTATGTTGCATCGCCTATTATCCCGGACCAGCATTATGTTGCATCGCCTCCGTATGAATTGTGCCTCTTGATAATAATAATGCTGTGCTCTTGGTAATGCTTGATTTGTCTGCTGCATTTGACACTCTAGATCATAGCATTATGTTGCATCGCCTCCAAAACCGGTTTGGTATAATGAATGTTGCACTCAAGTGGTTTGCCTCCTACTTTCAAAATAGAAGGAGTTACGTTACCATTGCAGGGGCCAACTCAGACGAAAGCCATATCCAATTTGGTGTCCCTCAAGGATCCGTTCTTGGCTAGCTCGCATTTACCATGAACTGAGTCCTCCTGGTGATATCCTTCACCGACACGATGTGAAATACCACATGTACGCAGATGACATCTAGATTTATCTGGATTTCAATCCATCTAGGCCCAACAACGCAGCTTGTGCCCTTTTCAGATTGTCAAACTGCATCAAAGATGTTCAGAACTGGATAATCATAAACTCAGGCTGAACGAAGATAAAAGTGAATTTTTCATTGCCGCATCTCGTCATCGTCAGAAACACTTAACCGATATCACTTTGCAGATAGGTAACACAACAATCAAAGCATCTCAGACAGTCTGAAATCTAGGTGTTGTCTTTGACAGCTCCATGACAATGAGCAGTCAGGTAGCAAACATTTGTAAATCTGTCAGTTACCACAACAGGAACATATCCAAGATTCGTAAATACTTTGACAACAACACTTGCCACGCCGCTGTTTGAGCACTCGTGCCATCCAGACTCGACTATTGCAACTCACTCCTCAATGGAATTAAACTGTGTAATGTTGATGGACTCCAACGGCTTCTAAACAATGCTCGCTTGTATTACATTGGCCCAACCAAAATACACAAATGCCTCTCCACTCCTTCAACAATTACACTGGTTACCAGTCAGACAACGCATCAACTTCAAAACAGCAGGATTCATGCACAAAGCTCTTCATAGTACTATGCCACAGTAGATAATGAGATCACTCAACCTCAATGCACCTAGCCGTAGTGGCCTTCGCTCCTGTAACAGTATGAGAGTTCCACCCACAATCATAAAGGCAAGGGACAGGGCCTTTTCAGTGTCTGGTCCCGATGCTGGAACTCCTTACCATGTAACATCTGCAACATCAGTTCCTTTGACAAATTTAGGGGTAGACTGAAAACTCAAATCTGTTCTCCTCACGTTAGCTTATGGTAAATTGTTTTCTGGAGTTGTCCTTGCCACGCATTGTAACTTGCGAAATTGCGTGTTATAAATCGTATTATTATAATCAGATAAGGAATTTTATTGAAACTAGATGGTACGATAACCGGAAGCCAAACCACATGTGCCAGTTCTGCTTGGTACTTGGTACTTATCCTCCTGAAACATCCTCTTGGGAGTTTAACTTGGAGCTTATGAAGAGCTATGGTCATCTAAGTAATTAATAGAATGGACATTAATTTCATTGTCTTCCAATATCCATCTTCTTTTGACCCTGCTTGTGCATTATTTCCATTAAGCTGCTAGCTGTGTAAGAAATTTGGCTTGGACAAAAAAATGAATGTGTCTCAATTGCAGTGTGTTTGGTGACATTAGTGACACCTGTTGTCGTGATGCGTAGTAAATTACAACCGGCCATGTGAAATCCACTTGGGATTCATTTCATTAAAAGCTCTCGTTATAGGCATACACATTTGCCTAGGGAGAATTAACCCATCTGAGTGGTGCTGTAATTCTGCTAAGTAGCTCCACGAACTTTGACCTTTTTGCATAAACATAAACTTTTCACTCCCCCACCCCAACATTAGCATTAAGTGCTTTGATGGCACTGTTAGCATGCTCTTTTCAGACATATATTTTGAGTCTTAAGCAAATTTGCGTTCTTTGCAGCCCCAAGTAATTGATGTAGCGTGTATGACCACATAGTGATGCAGTGGAAAACTATTGCATCGACATTAACAATCAGCATTCAGTTAATCATGCTCTGTTTTCAACTTTCCAGACTGCTTGTGAAACGCTGTTGCATAACTTGGAGCCATTCATGCGTGACAACCCCAAAGGAACATGGGAAGAGTGGGTGAGCATTCCTGACCCAAATTGCTTTTAAATGATGCAAGTGATGGGTTCTGCAGCTTACATAGTTTTCTACCCAGTTTTCACAGGCTTTTTGTAATGCTCTGAATTCTACATTCTTTGTTTTGTGTGACAGCAGTGTATCATGTTGATTCTCTCTATGCATAGCCCTTCCACTGTTGGAAATTTTAAATCTTGTATCGTTTCACTGCCCTACAGTGGACATACATCTAATATCATTGTCGTGCATGCCTTCCTTTGCTGCTTGTACTCTGTCCTGCGTAAAACCTTCCACAACTGAAATGTTTAGATATCCCCCAGCACTGGCATGCAACCACAAACACTGAAAGGGATTACCTGTTTCAGTACCATCTCCTTAACCCTAACCGCCAAGCATATTGTTTGGCTTACAGTACTCAGTACTACAAAATACTAAGTAGTAGTCTGAGCCTCAAGGACCTAGCGTTACAAATGACTACTTCTGGCTAGGTTACTTCCATTGTTACTCGTACAGAGAACAATAAAGCCATGCATTCATAGTGCCACAGCACTGTATGGTACATTGTCTTTCTATTTTATTTCATGGCTTCAGAGAAAATAAGGTCACGTCCTCTTACAAGGGACAGCACTGAATACTGCATTTTACTACAACTAGTAATTTGTAGTACTATGTAGAGTTAGGGTAAATAACACAGTACTGATCTTGAGAACTCACGCAATTCAAGTATACCACCGCACTTGTGATGGAAGGTACAAGACCTGAAGTTGTAACCTGGGGTAAATATTTTAAATGAAGACAAGAATGAGGACAACATTAGTTGTGGGTCTCACCATGAAGTGATACAATATTTTGTGATAATATAGGAAGTTATGCATGGTGCATAGACTTTGTGCACAAGATACCTCAGTTCATAGTGCAGCAACTATCCATGAGATGTCAGTTCTGGGTGTGGACCTCTTAAGACCATCACAAGAACAAGACAAGACCATCACAAGACCAACACAAGACCATCACAACACCATCACAAGACCATCACAACACCATCACAAGACCATCACAACACCATCGCAAGACCATCACAACACCATCACAAGATCATCACAACACCATCATAAGACTATCACAAGACCATCAAACCACCATCACAAGCCCATCACAACACCATCGCAAGATCATCTCAACACCATCACAAGATCATCACAACACCATCACAAGATCATCACAAAGCCTCCAGAGTGAAATCAAGTTGCAAACTATTCATATGAACTCCAACATAAGTATTCCTGTGCCATTGTTCGTGCTGTTACTGGTCTTGTGCATGACCTTGTGTCTTGTCTTGCAAACAGTCTTGTGATAGTCTCGACTACATTACTGTGGTCCAGCTGACAAGTTTTAAACAAGTATTTGGTTGAAGAAAGCAGTTTGCAGGAAAGCAGTTTGAACGTGATTGAATGCCGTCCCAGTACAGAGGGTTCCTAAGTCATAAGATCAAAACCTGCTCCGGTGACGTCAAGTATATATGTGGCACCGATATACATTTATTTTATTTCTCATGGATTCTGTTATGGCAAACTGCCTGGTTTTAACCACTCTAACTTTTGTCTCTAAGTGTTGTTAAGAATCTTGGGTGATCTGTGACCTGTTTCAGGTGAAAGCAGCTTACTTAAGTCGGGTTAGTCTCTCTACCACCGGATTCCATGCGTAAGTCAAGAGCTAGTTTTTACACTTTGACAAACCTACTGTGTTTTGGCAAACTGCGTGATAATTCAAGCAAATAGTCATACTTTTTTCTCTGTAATGAAAGAAGATCTCTTGGACAAAGAAGAAAAACATTTTATGAAATAACAGTGTCATGTACATGTAGAAAAGAAACAAGAAACATTATCATTTCCATAGCAGCATTTGTTTGTTAACCCCTTCTCACCTTGAAGCGGTAAGAGCCGCCGTAAAAATTGAGATACCTCAGTGCACTCATGGCCTTTTTCTCATGCACATCTCTCTATATTTGTTTCTTCAAGTTCTTGCATTCCATTGTCAAGGAAGACAACTTTCAATTTTCTGTGGCAGGAGTCCAGATTTGTACTTTGATTGGCAAACGGGCCGTGGGAAGCCATTCCGCTATTTCTCCTACGGCGTGGCTGTGTCGGAGGTAGAGATTGACTGTCTGACCGGGGACCATCAGGTGCTGAGGACGGACATTGTCATGGATGTGGGAGACAGCATCAACCCTGCCATCGATATTGGACAGGTAATCACAACATTGACGTGTTGACCATTGTCAGTAAAGTAAATTCCAGTCATGACAACAGATGCAAACAAAGTAGTCAATTCACTTGGACTCGATTTGTTCATAGCATTACCCTAAGTGAAGAAAATGTTAATCAACATCGAACGCATACCAGTGCGTCAGTGTGATCCTTTCACAGTAGTCGGTATCCTCTTTGGTTCTTGTGAATGGGCCACATGACAAAGAATAGTTGCTTAGTCCTTCAATCTATTGTATTCTCCTTTGTACCTCTTGTAGTGAAAAGGGAGTGAAAGAGATCAAGGAAGAGAACCAAGCCTCTGTTACTACATCATCAATCTCCAAGTTGTCAAACAGATCTGTACTCTTCACCAAAAAAAGAGGAAGAATGAGTGGTTAATAAATACAAAAACCACACTAGCAGACCTACTTAATCTTTCCCTGCCTGTTTTTCATTGGTAGATTGAGGGAGCGTTCATTCAGGGTTATGGGCTGTTTGTCCTGGAGGATTACCGAGTGACCCCGACAGGTCACTTGCTGACCAAAGGACCTGGTTTCTATAAGATCCCAGCATTTGGTGACATCCCGGCAGAATTCAATGTTAGTCTGCTCACCAGGGCACCAAATCCTTTCGCTGTCTGTTCCTCCAAGGTTAGCTTCGCAAGTGATTCTGTTTTTGTCTGGGTTTGATTTGTCAGTATGGTTCCAAATGAAATTCCTTTCATGACGGAATTGTAAACAAATAATGAATATTTAGGAGTGTAATAATATGAATATTTAGTGAGGTGACATGCCCTCTCTTGCCCAGTAGAATTGTTCTTTCCATTGCACAAATGATTTACCAAAGTTATCATGCAGGATTAGGATTTAGATTGTAAGTTTTCTTTTAATGAAGGTGTTCTTCCGTCATTGTGCAGGCCATTGGAGAACCACCTTTGTTCCTGGCAGCATCAGTTTTCTTTGCCATCAAGGATGCAATTCAGTCGGCCAGGAATGATGCAGGCATTCCTGAGCCATTCAAACTTGACTGTCCCGCCACCGCGGAGAGAATCCGCATGGCATGCCAAGACCAATTCACTAAACAGGTAAGGAGCAGCCTCTAGAATCATCATTTTGTCATAAGCTAGTGTCAGTTAAGCCATGGCTTTTGGAGATGCGAGGAACATCCGGAGAATATAAACAAATAGTTTTGAAGAAAGAGGGTTATCTTACCTTTCTGCTCTCTCCAGTTCAGGTTTATTAACCACTTGCTGGCAGGTGGATTTTGCTTAAGCAAGACAAGATGCCGGCTCATTTTCAAGATTTTCCATATTCAAAATTCTTCAAAAATTCATCATTTCATTTAATGGCCGTTTATACCAAAATGAAGGACTCTTTGGGCACTACTCTGAAGTAAAATTCATTGACTCCTGAATATTTCTACACCAGGCAAGATGTGGGACGGAGGGGTACCCCCCCTTACCTGTCCAATCCCTATACACACTCTAGACTATTGTTACCTAACATATCCCCCCTAGAAGTCTGTAAAGAATTCCTGAGATTCCGATCAAACAATGACCAACACAAAGGCAGGGGGGGTTCTGTCCATCCCATATCTTGCTTCAAATGAATATATCAGCCAGGCCTGCAACCTTGGAAAAAGAGCCCAGATTGTGCGGTGTTACGTAAGATTCTTTTGTTCCCGAAACCGGCACAGTGCACTGCTGACCTCTTTTCAATAGGGGCCAGATTAGCATGCAGCGGTGCTGTGTGGCTCATCAGCTAATTAGCTCGCTCTAAATGCCTCAGACCGTGGTATACTGTTTCAAAACAAGGCTGGATTATCTCCCCTATTGAGAGCAAAAAAATGTCAGTAATGCCCAGCAGCTCAGTCTTGTGCTGAGCACGGTCTTTTGTTATAAGGCCCAACTCTTTTGTCCCAGTTCCGGGCTTCCCGGCTCTGCATATAAAGCCTATGTTCTCGAAAACGGGTCGCCTGGCAGGGAGTGGTCAATGAAGTGGTTCTTGTAAATATTTAAATACTTCAGGTTTCTCAGACTCTCTCAAAACTTATTATACAGTTGTATATGGGGAAATTCTGACGAGTTGTGGAAAAACCAAACCAACAATTTTAAATCTAGATCAAATAAATTAAATGTTGAAATAAATATTGTAAGTTGAATGTAAGTTTAAATGACCAAAAAATTTAAAATACAAGTTTTAAAATGGTGAAAACTGAAGGTGAATTAGGAAGGAGTATAACTTAGAATGTCTTTTCATATGGTTTGGCATTTAGAGATCTGAGATATGGGTCAGTCCCTGAGGTTGGGGCACAATTTGTGATGATGTCCTCGTTACATCCAAAACTTCCATCACCTGTCATGACCTGTAGAGTAAGTCATTTACTCTATAAAAGTAATGCCCACCTCTGTATTCAGTCTTGCAAGATGTATAACAATGTCAATTTGGAATCCACATGCAGGGAAATAACTGTTCATTTTTAGGGAACCCATGTAACAATTCACGCCATCACAAATTGTGCCCCAACCTCACGGAATGACCTGTATACCAAAAAAAAATTTGATTGCATACGTTTTAAAGAATTTATCAGGTAAAAAAGTTGTTCTTCTGTGTGTACTGTTCTAATGGCTGTTAACGTATCTTAAGTATGATTTTATTTTTTGATAAAAGAATGATTGTACTTTCTGTTTCACTCCTTATAGTTCCCCGCACCTGAGCCTGGGACATACACGCCGTTCTTTGTTCGTCCGTAGTCTTGAAGTTTCTACAAATCCAAGAAAGTTTTAGAAATTTTCCTCATATCAGCTACAAGCATAACACATCAGGATTTCAATCCTGTAATGCACAACGCATCATGGTTTCTTTTCAACACCATAGATGTAATTGCAAACAATCAAACAGTATGTTCTCTGTCTTAATTCCTTCTCTTGTCATGAAGTGACTTGACCGAGTGCCTTAAGCAGTTAAGCAGTCATTTAGCACAACCAAACCATCATTGTGTAGGTTTGCGTGTAATGTTCTTGACTTCCAACCAGGTCGGCATTTGTATATTTCCATACAATGTTTGCTTGAAGTTGTTGGAAATTCATTTTGCTGCTGACAGTGTTTACCACTTCATGCCGGGGCATTTTTCAATGTTGATAATGCTGGGCCGGCATGACTATCATTTTTTCCATTTTCAAAATCCTTCAAAAATTCCTCATTCCATTTAACGGTCGTTTATAGCCGCACCAAATAATTTTCAGGCACTAGTCTAAGTTGACAGGTGACCTTCATTGACGCCGGAGTATTTCAGCCAGGCCAGCAGCCTTGTAAACAGAGCCCAGATTTTGTGGTGTTGTGTAAGTGTCTTTTGTTCATGAACCTGGCTTAGTGCACTGCTGATCTCTTTTCAATAGGGGCCAAATTAGCATGCAGCGGTGCTGTGTGGCTCATTGCTGCAGTGGTGGAGCACTTTTGTCCGCGGTGGTAATCTGCTTGCTCTCAATGCCCCAAACCCTGGTATACGGGTTCAAAACAAGGCTGGATTATCACCACTCTTGAGACTGAAAAATNCCCAGGCCACCCATATAAACCATACGTCTCCGATCCTGGAGTCCCCAGCAGGAAGTGGTTAATTATTGTAAATGCACAGAAACAAATGGCCATCTCTTGGTGGAATGTAAATGAAAATTGTAATTGTCCATTCAACAAAATTCCTGTTGGTTAACTCGTTCCTAGCTTTTGCGGTCAATCTGTGGACTCACCCTTTTGACTACTTGACTAAATTTCAAGGAGTAGAATTTTTCCACAATATGCAAAGCAAGTTCTATATAAGTATTAGTAAGAGATTAAGTTGAAAGGGTTCATCCAGATAGAAATTTTGCAACCTTAGGAAGGTTTGATGAAATTCAGGGAAATAGTGGAAAATACATATAATCCTTGGTATTTACTTCGATCGTTATGTTGAAAAGTATTACAATCTTATTAAGGTTGCCATCCATATTTGCAGGTAGATCCTTCATAGTTTTTAAATTCTAGAAAATGCGACATATTAATAACAAAATGTAAATTTATATTTGTAAATTTCTTACAAATGACCTCTGTGGTCATAATATTTGCAGTGAAATCTCAATTTTCTTTTTTTACTTTCAAAGGCATTTAACTGTTTTAGTGCCTTTTAGTATTAATTTTGAAAGAAAAGTGGAATACGATAATTATTTAATGGACAGTTTCACGCCAGTGTTGCTTTGGTAAATTTTTGATATATTTTAATTCACAGAAAAATTCAGATAATACAATCATTATGAAATAATTGTAAAACTGGTTGAATCAGTAAAGCGTGACAAAGAAAAAATAGCTTTGAAAATTTTTGTCATTGCAGGAAACCAAAGTTCTCTCACATATGTAAGCACTCCGTTTAGACTGAGATGTTTCTGTTACCACATTGTTTTTTAAATGAAATTATTTTTATCACCATTATATTGAAGATTTGACATTCCAGTGTGCTTCTTTTTGTGAAAATGAATTGTCCACATTTTTCATAATTATCAACTGGATATATAAACAAATATAAATGATACATTCATTGAAAGAGTTTCCTTTGTTTTGAATTTAAAGAAACAAAACATCTGTATTTCGTTATAACTTTTAGTTACAACCGTGAAAAAAAGGGCTTTTGTCATTTTCCAAATTTTTCAAGAGATTGTGCACAAGGATAAATTCTGTGATTGGATTTTTCCCCTGTTTGCTCTTTTTCATCTAGAAGTGAGAGAGGAAAGCCGGCAAATCTATTTTCAAATGTGTGGGGGTCGGAGCAAATAGCCAGGGGATGTGTCCTTCCACCCCCAGTACATGTATATAATTCCAGTTGGCAAATAGGGCTTTGGTCGGGAAATGAATCTCTATTGGTCCACAAGTGTTTTTATGTTGGCCGTCGGCATTTCCCTTCAAGCATTACATGTAGTGTACCCCAGATTTCCATTTTACATGACACAAGGTTGGAGAACAAGTTCCAAGCAAACTGACTCTGATACACCCCTCCCTCCAAAGAAAATACCTTCGCTATACACCTGCAAATAGCATGTATGTTCTTAGTGTGTTATCACATAGTTTTTGTTGTGTTTCTTAATTGTTTTGTTGTGAGTGTGTACACTTTTGTTCCTTGTTTTGGTCTCTTCCTCATTTTGGGTTTAGTTTGCAACCTTCTGCCCACTTTGTTGACATGTAGTGTCATTTCTGTCGTTCAAAGTAGACGTACATTAATAAAGTAGGTTTGTGTGAGATTAACATGAGACATTCTTGGAATGTGCTCTATTTCGTGTAAGGAATAATTCAATGAAAATGCACCACAGAATATCAGTGGGTATGTTAAAATTAACTTCAGTAATCTCTCGTGCTGTTTTGGTATAGAGGCCTAATAAGTATTGACCATTTAAAAAGAGTGCATATCCATCCCTTGGATCGTTCTCGACACTCCCACAAACTTAGAATGCACACATCATGTGTGCAAGCTTCAGTTCATTTCATTTGAGTGCCCCTTGAAAAAAAGTCCACCTCAAGTGACGCCCAGAAAGTTACCCCAGCATTAAAAACAAGTGGCATTTATCTTTTAAACAATGCACAAAGTGGATTGTTTTCCAAAAGTAGCACCATAATTTGTGGATTCCTTTTTATTTTCAAATCTGTAGGACTGCTGGTGTTTGTACCTGTAAAGACAGAGATTATGTTTGCAGAATATTTGTTCGAGTTCAGATTTCTGATTGGTTTGGTTCGCGTGTGCATTCTGAGCCACCGTAAACACAACAACCATGATGTTCTTATTTGGGCATAGTTGTTAACTGGTTGCATGCATTATCCCCGACGCAAGGCAAGGTCGAGTCAGTCGTTGCTGGTCCATGCATTACAAGTAGCGCGACAACGGATCCATCCAACGGGGAATTGTATTGTCGATGCCAAGACCCTTTGCTTTTGCGAAGCTGGAATTTTCAGGTGATCAGCCATGGATTCGGAGAGGAGTCGACGGTCGATTGCCTCGCAGTATTTTATGGACGAGGATTCCACGACGGCTGATATGGCAGAAGGAATCAACACCTCAGACAGGGTAGGTGTTGGTTTGCCAACAACAGAGGCTCCATTTCTACCTCCATGGTATTAGCTTAGTACTAGGCCCAGGTCATGTTCCCATTCCTCCATCATGGTTGGATTAATGGTTGCTTTTACATATATTTCTATTCCTGATCGTTTGTTAGTTTTGGAGATGGGGTACAAACAGCTTTCTTTCAAAGTCTAGTTTCAGTTTAATGTCAAGATTGCACTTATCTGTCACTTTTTTAGGTGATTGACTTAATCAACCAAACACACCTGTTGACGAAGGATTCCCAGAAAATTGCTAATCTCAAACATGTACAAGAACTGATTGTGCACAAGGATCCAACACTACTGGACAATTTCCTTGATGTGAGTATGACTCTGACTAATGTCAAGTTATCAGTTTACTTTTCAACTTCCAAATCTTGATGGTTGTCTTGAATCACACTTGGAAGACTTGTTTTAGACAGTTGGTACCCTTGGTGTGTGCTCCATTCTCACCTGGTGCAAGAGTTAATCTGATGTGATGACCTTGTGGGGTCAAGTTGGGTTGCTCAGATATTCTTGCGTTGTTTGTTTGTCAGGTTCACGGTGTCACACTGAATGGAAAGACCAAATCATCCCGCAAAAGCTGCATACTGTACCTACTGTCTTAATAGTCATGAAGCCTCGTCACCAGTCATTGTCATACTTTTACTGAAGGGGTCATGACAATGAATTTCACTTGCGAGCACGTTTTTTTCAACTTTCTGTCCCCGTGAATGTTTAAGAACTTCTTAATTGTAAATTTCTATTAAATGTGCCATAGTTTAAACATTTGAATATTTCCATACCTTCCTTGGCAGTGATGTAGGGTACTTTCCATTTTAGGAGTGACTGCTCACAAGTTCTGTCGAACCCCACATTTGTTCATTGAAGGTATCTGTGAATTGCGAGCAAATGTGGCTCACTGCCCCGGCTTCAAGTACTGAAGCAGCAATGAATCATCAAAGGAAAGTGTAACCAGGTCGAGTTTTTGCCCTACTCTCACCTGACGCCGGTTCCTTTTCTTTAAGTCACATTGATTCCATTCCTTTTATTCCGTTTCGACTGCATCATGCACTGTGCTTCCGCGGAACATGTGCTCTGTATGCAGTCATGCATAGATAATTTTGACTAGCGCCCTCATGCGGCCAAACACTCTTTTTGGTTCTCACAGTCTCACTCCGGGTGTTACATGCAGAATTAGAATACGGTAGCATCCTTGTTTTTGTTTTCAATGAATACTAGACATTCTTTTGCACATTTTCTGAGTTGTTTCTTTTTAAGTAAAAATGTGCGGGTTGCTGATTTTAATCCAACTTTCGCCAGAGAGAACGTCTCCCTTTTGTCTCTGCGATAATAATTACATTTCTGAGCCTGCAGTTTATGGCATGTAAGGAAGGCATGAGCAGTCATCGTCCCTGTTGACTGTCATTTTTTTTTCATACCCTTGACATACCATAATAAAAATTTGTACATGGGAACCAGCTTCATCCCCCAATCCTTATTTTTGAGTGGATCTGCTCGGTAACAAAAGGAAGCTTTAAAATTTAAAAACAGAAAATGTCCTACATTTTGGCAAATGTCGGTGCTGAAATGTTATTATATCATGACATGTATACCCCTAACATTGAATTGCTTTTATTGTTGTGAATTGGGACAGGAAGTTCTTCAGTTTCAGCATGACAAGTCAGCAGACGTCAGAAAGTTTGTGGTTGGATTTATTGAAGAAGCGTGGTAAGATACTTGTATCCGTAGGTAGGGGACTTGTATGATTGAAATGTGATGCAATGGCGGTGGGGCACACACATACAGTTCATTTGACTTGAGGGCTCAAGAAATTGAACCATTATGAGCCTGAGGTACATGTATTTAAGTGTGTACAAGAACATTTTCTTTTTATAGGAAAGTTGCTTCTAACACTAGCATTGTAGCCTATTAAGGGGCAAAATTACAGAAGAAAGGCAGAAAAGCATAAGTAACCAAAAAATTAACAAAAATTGTAGATAGGGGTATCATCACACCTGATCATGGTGAAAAGACATGTAACGAAGAGCACAAACATTTCAATTAATCTCAAGAAGAGGAAGGTATGTATGTCCTAAAACGTTTATGTTCCCGTGTAAAGTCAAAGGGAATGAGGCAGCAGGATTTCAGTTACTGGAACTGTGAAATGATTGTGCAGTTTTAGAGTGTGAGGAGATTTAAAAGGAAGTGAAAATGTGAAATTCCACATTTTCTGTCTTCTACAGCAAGAAGGATAATGACATGTTATGCAGTGTGATTCCACATCTTAACATGATGCTGAGTGATTCGGCCCAACACGTTGCAGTCATCAAGAAGGTTATCCTGTGCAGCATGCAGCTCTACAAAATTGCCCTGAAGGTCTGTCAAATTGGCAAATAGTACTTTTTGAAATCTTGTGTATTCGTAGTGCTTTCTACGATCAGGCATGCAACTTTTCCTGGGATCAGCTGATTTCCTCATTTTTCACTTCACACTCGTGCCGCTGAAATGTGAAAAGCACTCCAAATCTTGTAAAGATTGGAATTTCCTCTTTTTTGTCACAGTCCAAGTTGCATGCCTGTACAATGAAACTTTATTTTTGGAAATAGGGAACTTCTGATGACCTAGAAAACGAGAAAGGCAAGATCAGTTGGATGTCACATTATGTCCATCCCCTAGTGCTCATGGCAGTGAGGGATTACATTTCTTGACCTTACGTTATTGATACAGGTTTGGTAGTGATTCTTAGTGAGGTTTTTCTCATGTTTTATTTTCTGGGGTCACATTAACCCTAACCCTCCTGAATCCTTCACCTGTTGGAGGATTGAGGAGGGTTAGGGTTAAAGGCCTTTTTATAATCGGACTAGAATTCAAACATGAGTTCCTGAAGCCTGTTAATAGGCAGTTGATGCACCAAATCTCCCAGAAACTTGCGTATACATGCAGTAATACAGTATTTTAGTAACTTCTGAATGGTATAAATAGAGCTTAATACCATGAATGTGCTGTGGGCTTTCTGCATACTGATGACTCGGGAAGGTCCTTTGTGAAATTTTCAGCATCAAAGTTAAGAATGGCATCTGTTTTTAATGTTTATTTCATCAGTCAGTTATGCCGACCATGTTTTTTCAACACTAAAGGTAGTCACATAGTTTTATAAAGCGGGGTCATTACTTGTTCCCTTCACTTAAAGGTCTTGCATGAGTTTGTTTTCAGTAAAATCATGCAATCATGTGTATCTTACATTCAAAGCATTTCAAGAAATGTATCTGACACCTCTTCTTGTTTGTTTGCCACTCTGTTTGATAAAGTGGTTGGTCAATGCCAGGACGTTTGGCGAAGAGATGGAAGCAGTGTGGGACCAGATACAGGAAATCAAACGCAAGGTGTTCATCATGCTGGACTCTGAAAATGACGGGTAAGTTTCGGGCTTTACTGCGATGCTACCCATTCTTGTAACTTGCATTCAAATTGTTCTAAAGACAAGATGGGGAAGAAGATTGCGTAGCCGTCCAACACCATTCTAGGGTAATGCAAAATTTGGAGGATACTGATTTGTTAATCTATAAACTAGTGTTACTATTGAGTGTGCTTGGTTTTCATTTTAGCATTTTGGTGAACACATTGTTGCGAACAAATTGCTATATTTGCTGATGTGTTTTAATCCAAATTGACATCTTCTGTAGAATGGAAACTTGGACAAAGGTACTCTGAAGCTTTGTTCTGATGTCTTCAAATTTCCATAGTATACGAGTGTACATGTAGCTTCAGCATTTTCCATATGTGATAGAGGTAATAAATGAACTTGTTGGTTTTATCTTTCAGCATTCGTACTCACTCCACAAAGTACATGGAGTCTCTCATTCTTGTGGAGTCGGCCAGAGTCGCGGGATCTGAGATCCCCAAGAAACCAGAAGCAGACATCTCCCTGGATCAGGTACTTGTAGTTTTTTTTCTTTGAATGTCAAGTATCTCCTTATGTTGTAAATGTACCTCCGTCCAAATTACTTGACTTCAGCAAGTGGCTGCCATAGGTGTACATGTGAGTCCCAGCCATAGCCACATTCTATTGACACTTCTGCGGTTACATTTTGGACAGTTATGGCCCATCAGTCTCAATAAATCTAATCTTGAATTTTGAGTGGTAATTGTAAAAAAACGCCTGATTTGTTCACCCAAATGTCACCTGCATTATTCTAAAAACTGAACATCTTTATCAAAGGGAAACAACTCTACAGTGATTTTATTTTTTAAAAATGGTATTACAACATTTACATATCATTTCTGAGTTAATACAAAACCCAAAACTTGAGAGATACATGTAGAATAAATCAGACAAAAATCATGGAGTATCTTCACCCATCATACCTTTGTCTGTAGCTCTTCCGGGGGGGGGGGATCTTTATTCCCTGTACCCAATATTCAGTGAATGTTGCCGTTCCTGTGTACAGATTCCAGAGGAGCATGGACTTTTGAAACGTGAGGAGTTGGAGAAAGATGGCCTTCATGCATTTGAGCTATTACTGGACCTTCTAGCCTCCCCAAGCATAACAAGGTAAATCGAATTCAACATGTCCGACTCAGCTTCTTTGCTGGTTTCATGTTTTGTTGAATGTTTGTTGTGTGTTATGGACATTTGCTCTTTCATTCAACCAGTGCATGCGATATTGATTTCAACAGGATAATTGTACTGGTAAAGTAACGTTTTGTTTTTTGTTTTACTTTGGAAGTCCGCAGATCCATGAAAAATTTGAGAATTAGACTATAAATAAGAAGCAATGATATAGAGATTTGTATCGCTGACTTTTCTCTGTGTCAATTGCAGCGTCAACTTAATGGCATGTATGGGCTCCCTTACTACTATTGCCAAGCAGCGACCACAGTTCATGGCCAGGGTCATCCAAGCTTTTGAAACTCTTCATGGTGAGTAGCACTTTGTTGATTTTTTTCGTGCAGGTGGTTTGATGTTAGCATGTTTAAAATGAATGTCCAAAGGGACGCTTCAAGTGTTTTAAAGCAATGTCCGAGTTGGTCCTGGCAAAAAGTTAGTAACCATAGAATGGTATACTAGTTGGAGATGTACTGGGGACCTGTCGTCAAATAGCAGTAAATGAGTTTGCAAAAGATAGGTCGCTGGTGAGTAAGGCCCTTGGAAGTATGTGGAGATCACTTGACAACTAGCAAATAAGAAGACGGTAAAAAAATATGGCAGGCGACTTGTGCGTATAACAGTAGTTTCAGGGATTGAGCCAGGTGAAAGAAGGTTGGATAACAGTTTAAAAATTTCAATTTCTTTCCTTTTAGTAAATCTACCGCCAACATTGGCCAAGTCACAAGTGAGCAGTGTACGGAAGCACCTGAAGGTAAATCTTGCTCCCTTCTTTCACCTTGGCTGTGGGTTTGCTTGCAAACCTGTCATCTTCAGAGTTGACACACTACATTGTTAAAGTCAGTTGAATTCTTTTTATCCACAGATGCAGTTGTTGAACTTGTTGAAACATCCCTCGTCTGTCAGTCTTCATTCCAACATCACTACACTGCTGACAGACTTGGGAGCATCTGAAGCAGAGGTTGGTTTCTGAAATCACGTCGGACTATTAAAATTTTAATTTGCCTGAATTGTACGACACCTGTGAACATTATTGCAGCATTTGTGCCCAAGAGCCACCCACTGTTCCTCAAAATTCACTTTGAGTATTTTTGGAATTTATCCGAAATTGAGGAAGCCTCTGTTAGTTTACATGGGACTTGGTGCAAGTCTAATGACAGAGTATGTCACATTGTCCTAACCAGCAAAGAGTATTCAGGAAGTCAGGAGGTTTTACAAGCAAAAGTGGAGTATGGTTAAATTCTGTCTTTGACATAAAGATCAAGATGTCATCGTGGACATATTTGTGTTCAGATATCCAAGCATATGCCCAAGGTGCGTGAGAGCTTCAAGCGACCTCGACCAGCGGATGATGAAGGATCATCAAACAGCAAGAAGCCGAAGACAACCACAGTGAAGACGGTATGTAGTGACAGAAACGTCTGGTCACATCAGGAACAGACGTTCGGAAAGTTGTCTGGGAAGAGGGGAGTTGAGGAGCAGATGAACATTGTGTGTATCATATTGTACACCCATTCCATCACCAGTTAACAACCAATCCGTGTAAAGAAGTCGGCCTCTGCAGAACGCATTAGATTTGAAGCTGGATTTAAGCCACTTCCCTAATTTTGTTTTTTTTTCTCCTGCCTGCAGATCCAGCAGGTGATGGATGAGGATGAGATGGGACGGGAAACTCCCCTCCATCCCACCCTCCTCCCCTCCATGCCGAGCACCAGCAAAGCCACCATCCAGGCCCCAGCTAAGATCTCAGTGGTGGATCTCTTGGCTGAGGAGCTCACACCGCTGCTTCAGAACGTGGAGAATGTGGCCAACCTTGTACTCATCAGCATGGTAAGTAACCAACCATCATGTAGTTTGCTGGTTAAGTTGTGGCACGAAACAAATTTAGATGCCTTCTTGATAATAATATTGATAAAACGCTGTCCAAAAACCTGTTTTTAACTTACATATTAGGGTGATTTCCTATTATTACTACCCCTGCTTATTGGCCCAGGGAACATCTGAAATGCCATCTCAGTTCCCTAGGGAGTATACAGCTCGATGCAGCCATTTCAGTGAAAAGCAGCTAAATCAACCACAGTAACCATCTCTGCCCTCACACATGCCAAATTACTCCTGGGTGGGGAGAAGCATTGAGTGACAAAGAGCCTTGCCCAAGGGCACATGCACCATGAACGCAGGCAGGATTCGAACCTGTAACCTGCTGCTTTACTTGTAGACTACAAATCTAATGCTCGTTACTGTGAGGCCACTGAACTCCTTTACAGTCAGTTTTATTGTAAATGTGACTTGTCACTTTTCTGGAGTAGACGTCATCCAGACCAGTACAAGTTTTTATTCTCATTGACATGTAATGTGTGCACATTTTTAATATTAGCAATGTCGTAATTGACAGGAATCTTTCTGTGATTAGTGAATGTCATCAGAAGGTTTTTTAAATAACCTCTTTTAAAGTTTTTAAGTGCATATAGAGGATGTGCCTCCTCTGGACTGTCTGGCTGTTATGATTAACCCCTTCACTTCGGAGGACTGTTACTGCGGCACCATTGTGTGAGGATTAGTGCATACCACACATACAGTCTATTCACCATGCAGCTGCTGGTTCAATGGGGCCTGCTGCTGGACAAAGCCTTCCATTCAGGGCATACCACAGCCCATCAGTCGCGGTCAGAATAATCCCGCCTTGAAGGGGTTAATGTGCTGGTTTACGCATGCATGTTGCCCCCAAGCCGTTGTTAGAGACTGAGTGATATCACAAGCATGTCTTTTGTACATTTATTCGTAGACTAGCGATATCTGAACCTTTTTCGGTTCAAATAGGCCGAGGTCCCACTAGAATGGTCTACATCTTGGCTAGATAACTTTTACTTTGAAATGATGATATCTGTGACAGGTGACATTACCGGAGACTATGCCCCCACAGTTCCAGGCCAGCTACACCCCCATTGCCGCGGCAGGGACAGACAGCCAGATCAGTCACTTGGCTCGTATGATGAGTAGTCAGTTTGCTACAGCAGGCATCAAACCACAGAACATGGAGGTTAGAAATTGTGGCCTTTTTCTCTTCAACTGTTAGATGGTAATAAAGCATTTTGCATGATATCATGTTACCTAACTGCAATGGTTATGAGCCCCATTTGATACATTTATTGAGGTTGGGCAACACCCTTGAAGCTTCTGATACTGTTGAGTGCTGTGTGTTGAACAACTCACCTCTCCTGTAGGCCAGGTTCTCAAATACACATGCACGAAGAATGCTGTGCCCCAGTTGGGTGTGGGTATGTGCATGTAAATATTCAAATGAAGTTGACCCTGTATCGGATGTCACAAGAACAATCTTGTTCCGTCCAATCTCTGATTAGATGCTTGAGCAAGAGGAAGAAGCTGCTGACAAGGAGAACAAGTCTGCCGTGAC